CTGCACTCAGCTAGGGATGTCAACGGGGGCAAACGGGGCGGGGATTGCATCCCCCGCCCCCACCCCCAAAGTTTTCTTGTTCCCCCGCCCCCGAAATCTCTAGCCTCCCCATCATCACCCCCGCCCCCGAATCCCAAGATTACCCCCGCCCCCGTTTCCTCGTCCCCATTTAGGTTGACTTTTTTTTGGGCGAACGAAGGTGTTCTTTAGGCTAAAAGAAGTAATTTTTTTGAGCTAAAAGAAACCATTTTGGATAAAAATAGTTATTTATAACACAATTTTATATATTTAAAATAAAAATATTATAACATCTTAAAAACGTTATAGTATAAACTTAAAAACATGATATTTGATTGAATTTTGAAAGTTCAAAATGATTGGTATTATTTATTATATTTTTATAATTAATATATTAACGGGGTCCCCATTGAGGGTTCTGGACGGGACTACCCACCCCCATCCCCGCTCCCGAAACTAAAACGGGGGTTAACCTTGCCCCCGCTCCCACCCCCATCCCCGACTTTTTAAACAAATATTCCCCATTCGGGATCGGGGCCTCATGGGTTCGGGGTCCCACGAGACTTTTTGACATCCCTACACTCATCCCGCTCTCCAAACACCACCGGAGAGACTCATCGCGATCTCTGTAAGTCCACTCCTTAGAGACCCAAGCACCCGCATCCTTCGTCGGACACTCATCACCGTGTCTATAATCCAATGAAATTGCTAAGATCGCTGTAAGTTTTCCTTCTTATCGTTTTTCTCTTCTCTCTTTTATTTTTGGTCTCTAGTATTTTTCTCTAATTCAGATGTTGTAATTTCCTCTATATGCATGGATAAGAAAATAGTAGAGGTTTAGTTGTTGTTTCTTTTTGAATTCTCTTTTCTCATCGGGGTTTCTTGTATTACACTGTCTTCAGCTTTTTCGTTGGCGGTTTTTTTGTACAATCTGTTTTTCTTATCATTGAGGTTTGTAGTATTACGCTGTTTTTCTAAACTGCAACTTACAACAAAAAGAAACTACATATTGTTAATGCAGTTTTATTGATCGTTAATTGGGTGGGGGGTTATTCATATTCATTATTCATAAATCATGGGGGTATCCATAGAGAACTTCAGAGTAAACATCATCAATAGTTGTGGTATGGTATCTCTTTATTTCTTAGTTGACATAGTTCCACATATAAATGTTGAAATTGGAAATTGCATCTTTATGTGTTTACTTTCACTAAAAAATATATTCTCTCTTTTTAATGTCCGAAGGCTTGAGTTCATTTAGTTGATAGTTCTCTTGGTATGGTGTTCAGCTGCCCTCAATTTGGGATGTGCTCTTGTAAGATCATCAACAAGCAAAAGAAACAGTAATACCAGAAGCTATCTATGCCTAAGAATCCCGAAAGTATGGATTTCATTTCATTCTGTACAAGAAATGCCAATCAGGTCTTGTAGTTTTTGTTACTGGATCATTTCTTAATACTTTATTAGATAATTGTGTTTTACTTCTGGTACTTAATGGATTATTTTCATCATCGACTGTTAGTGATTCTGTAATTTTTGGTTCATTTTTGAGGTTTGTAATGTTTTTAATCTTTGTTCCAAGTAAAATGAGAATGTTTTGGGGACCAAAATTTCAAAAACAGTTATATTTAAGAAATGTAACTTCTCTTCTTTCATTGTTTAATAAATTCTTTTTGAAAAATAAAAAAGTTATGGTATGTGTGTTATGTCTTTCACATCCATTTTTGTTGCTCATTTTCTAAAATGTTTTTATTCATATTCCAGTTAGTGTTTCAGTAGACCCTACTGTGTTCTGCAGTGTTCCATGATTATGTAACAGACAGAGTATATGATGGGTATGATAAATTTATGTATTTTTACAGAGTTTTCTAATCTCAAAATTTTCTTATAAGTCAATGTAGTTTGAAAAACTTACCAAATTAGAGCATCATACTTTTAGCTATTTTCTTATAAGGATATTATACTTTTGGATGTCTACCCAATTATAGCATTCTACTTTCATCTTTTTTTTCTTCCATATTATAGCATTGTAATTCCAATTTTTTTTCCTTGTTATGGCATTATACTTTGAATAATCCAACCATTTACTAAAAAAATTTCCTAATTAAGTAGTGAAATAAATCACTCCGTATTTGAAAGGAAAGTAGGACGCTTTATATAATAAGCAATCACTGAAAGTACATTGTTATTTCTTGCATTTAAACCTTATATTTTTAGGTGCTTTGGTTGTTAAGTAATGGAATGACCGAGACTTTTTCATTATATATGAATGGGAAGCAGTCGATTTTCCGTAGTTTGTTCATTGTAGCATCCTACTTGCATTTTTATCTTTTACAACATTGTAATTTCAATCTTTTCTTAAATACATTGCATAATGAAAGTTGTATGTATTTTTAATGTTTCTTATTAAGACATCATACTTTCAAAAGGCTATCTAACCATAGCAATGAAAATTGCCTTGTATGATGATGACATTGCTATATTTACGAAGATTTTTCGAAATAGATTGGTTGGTTATCCATTTAAAGCAATAGTGATGTATGATATTCGTGTTTCAAAAGTAAAGCTTGTGGATGTTCCTTAGATGAAAGTATACATCCAATGATGAACCATATCCTCTCTTCTTCTTTTGGCATGTATCATTAGACTGGGACTGATACTTATGTCATTGGGACACAACTTGCAATTTTATATCCCTCCCAAAAAGGTGGAAGGTAGGATACTCCAAGCATTTCTTAATACTTCACCACAAGTTCATAATAATCTTCAAACAACTAATAATCCTTGGATTATACAAAAATCACCAAGATTAGTTTAACTTAACATGGCTAAACTTAAGAAGAAAAAAAACAGTTGAATGTACCAAACATTAACCCAAAATGAAAGATGAAATATGTATTCTTCAAGCCTTCAAGTCAAAGCAAGTAGACACTTATTGATTGTGTGTTAATAAATATTATCAACTCTTGTATTGGTCATGCCTAACAGAGTACTTCTCACTATGACACCCACAATGATACATAGGAAGAACATAAAGACTTTGAAATGGTCAACAAACAATAGAGAATTACATAGTCGACCATTTTATTCCTAGAAATTAGCAACAAATGTATTTATTTGTTTATAATAAAAAAATTATGTTTACAAATGAATTGTTATTAATAATATCCATTAATTCCATAGTAATTTACAAAAAAATCACAATATTTTGGTTATCGGGTAATTTTCAGAAAAATCTTAATATTTTGAGCAAACTAATGAAAAATGACAAAATACCGGCTAAATCTTCGAAATTGGCCAAAAAGAGTTGTTTCAAAGTTTTAGCCGGTATTCTGTGTTGTTCTGTAAACAAAAATTAGTTCGAGATTTTTTCATAAATTACACTAAAACTTTAGGACTTTTATGGAGATTTCTCATTTAGTAACTAAGAAATGTCTAGATGATTTAAGCTTTTAGATCATTATAACCAAATTAAAGTAAGTCATGAGCCTTGCACCATACTATCTAATGATAATTAACTACATATTCATGTGATGAAAGCCAAAATCAACAATATTTCTCTCATTGATTTAAATCAAACTCTTTTTCATATTGGTGTAGTTTCCAGTTTTAGTATAAGTTTGTTTTCTTAGAACAATCAAAAGATTAAAACTCTCATTTTTATTGTTATTGTTGTTTTTCGAGCTTTTTTGCAAAGAGATTTTATTCGTGGATTCAATTCATTTGTCGTTATACACTATCTGGTGTGCAATTTTCATGGTTTATCACCACTAACCTCTCAAAAAAATAAGTGATCATTAAAATAAAAATATATCTTTATTGGTATCTATTTGTAAAAAAAAAATTTATATATATATATATATATATATATATATATATATATATATATATATATATATATATATATATATATATATAAGCAATTAGCATAAGTTAAGGAATATGAACCCAACAAGAAATACAAACTTTGGAGCATAGCAAAGTTTGTTTGGAACATAATGAGTTCAAGATCTTATAAAATGTTGTTTGTCCATGAATTATCCAAGACTTAAAACAACATTATTATAGGAGAAACTGCATGTACAGTAAAATGCTAATGGTCTAGCAGTAATATTCTAAATTATCCCAAAAAAAATTACACATTCCATATAATCATTAAGTTCATTCGGTCCGACCATTCAGTATGATATGCCCATACTACTGTGTTGTTATCTAAACTGAAATCTAAATTCAAATAAGAACCAAATAGAGATGAACTGCAATGATTCTCATAGAAACAAAATGAAAGATCTCATTTTCGAGAGGTAAGTGATCCCCAAGTTTTTTGCATAAGCAATTACAAATTCAACATAAACAAAAAGGCATCACATCCAACTACAAATACTAAAGAAACGGACAGAAGACTGCAATGAAGACGTTAAACATTCCCTCCCCACTACCAGTGTTTCCCTCACAGCAGCTGCTGCAGGAACACTAAAAGGACAAAATTACCCATGGACTGGACTGGACTGTCCCCTGTGGCTAAATGGCTTGATTCTGCTCATTTGGGTTGTCACCTGTGGGCTTCTTCTTCTTCTTCTTCTTATGAGTGTAAACATGAAAATACTAATTGTTGCAGAATTAACTAATAGAGGTTGGACCATTTACTGTCATTCAGTGCAAAATAGAAACACTATTTGTTTATAGTTACAACACTCTCTCCAAACAAAGTAACATCATTTATCCAAATACCATGCTATCTATTATACAACATGAATATGTAATGAAGAAAAGAAGAAACAGGGCTTTAAACTACTTGACATTTAACTCATCAAGTTATATTACAAATAAAAGCTTTGGTACTATTGAATATCCATAGGAACATGACATAAAGTTTACATACAACTACAAGAAGCAAAAAAGAAAAGAAGTGAAACTATAGATATGTAGTTAACAGTTTCTGGAAGATGATATCAATGATACATTGAACAAACATCACATAATTAAACAGCTCCTAAATAATGGATTATATATGGTTACAACTTATAAAGGAGGATAAAAGTAGGATGACAAAGAAAAGCCAAGGAACAACAAACCTCCAACTGTTGCAACCGTACGTTGTGAGATTTTGGAGGCCAGCATGCTTCCACCAATCACTGCAACCGATGTACAGATCGTGTGCCCTATTATGGCCCCCACTGCAACCCCTACTGCATTTTTATGTGTTGCTAGCTGCACCCAAAAAAAAAACATAATTTACAATCAATCCACAACAACCGCATATTATGCCTGTGGATGTTGTTTCTTTTATATATATATATATATATATATATATATATATATATATATATATATATATATATATAATAAAAAAAGAGAACAAAGGAAATGTTACAGCTATTGTGGCTATTTGGCTCCGATCACCCCATTCTGCTAAAAATGTCAAAATAAATGACTGCAAGTGTAACCACAAAAGAAAAAATCAGTCCAAATAAGAAGTAAACGTATGAGAGAGAGGAGCAGATTTAGTACACTAAAAGTAAACATACATACATACATACATACATACATACATAATTACATACATACATACAAACATAATTACATACCTCTAAGAATATAGGAGTACAGAACCTAGAAAAGAATCGCCGGACACTTGTTTTCCCTTGTCCAGACTCCAGTTTCTCCTCCACCTTTTTTAGAATTTTAGAAGCATTAAAATAGGTTTCATTGGATGACTACTTTATGTTGTTTTGAGCAACAAAAAAAACATACTTCTTCCATCTCCTTCTTCTGGGATGATTTTGAATTTGATCTCCAAGCAATATAAAGCAACCGCAACCCAAAAAAGGCATAAAGAACTGCATCATAAGAAAATAAATAATTAGATGTATGTCTGAAAAAGTGTTGCATACATAAAGTCTGTTTCTTTTCTGTACTAAATAAACTGTCTGAATGTGACTAAATGATAATTTTACCCTTTAACTACCAACAAAATTAATTCACAATGTTCATCACTTTTACCCATTAAGTCATTCAATCCAGATTAAGTAAAAAAGAAACAGCCATGCACGGTTTGACAAAACTAAAAGCTTAATCCATAAAGCTAATCAAGTCTAGAAGAAACATCACCTAAGTGTTGACTAAACTAAAAGTTGTTAAAAATATTACTGTTTATCAAATACAGATAACAGATAATCAAATATGTAAACAAAAAAAAACAGCAGATTTGAGGCATGCCTGTAGCGGCACTATTTGTATGCTTCCTGGATATCAGGTTTGGAACAATCCTACCAAGCCCCGTTGAAAGTATCTATATAATAAACAAATAAATAAATACAAAAACAGAATCTCGGTGCATTTTCCTTTTTTTTATTTTAAAAAGAAAAAACATTCGTAAGAAGAATACTGAAAGAAAAAAACACAGCATACCGTCATCACAAATAGAGCACTGAGTGCACCAGAGAGGACAATTGACTTTGGATGACGCATTGCCATGAGAGCTGCTATTATAAAAGTCTCATCTCCAATCTACAACATAAAACAGGACATTGGTTTTGTATCCTAAAAACAAATCTTTTTAAAATTTTAAGCAAACTGATTACTCACTCAACATAAACCACAAAACTAATACAGGTATATGGGAATTGGGAAGAAAAAAAAAAGGAAAAGATGAAGGAAAGAGCACAAACCTCACTGACAAGGATCATTGACAAACTAGCAAAAAATGCATCAAAAACCCCAAGACCAGAATCCAAATTCAGTACACCCACAGCCTTTGGATCAATCTTATCACCACCTATCACATTGTTTTTTAGTGTGTCCACAACCACCTGTACAACAGAAATATATTTGTATATTTTTTTAAGTGGTATTTTAGCATTCGAGTACAATCTATCCAAATTGAGTACATGTCATCTTCATAGATTTCTCCGTGATTGTGGTCCATATGATATGTTTTCTCAACTTTGTGTTATTAAGGGAAATTTCAGCATTTGATCTTTCGTCAAAGACTCTATGTGTCAAATCAAAGTTGCACCTTTTTATAGGGAAGGATGAAATGAATCATGAACAAGTTAACAGAGTGATTGCTCATAGAAGTAGAAAACAAGTGGAAAACTAATGAAAGTGAAGAAGTAGAAGATGGAGGACCTAGCTACAGAGCAAGTAACTGATGTAATTTTGTTTAAATCCATTCATTTGTTTACTCTTTATATGTAATTTCGTTAACAAAACTGAACTCCAAAAATTACTTGTGTTTTTTGGGTAATTATATTTCTACAAAACTATAATGAACTTTAGCTTCTCTTCACATGATTAAACGATCTAAAGGATAACCTAAAACCTCAACTAGCACAAAACCCATAGACAAGAATACAAATTATCCGCACTTCCACTACATTTCCCAATTTCCCAATTACAAATAGAATAGAAGAAAAGAAAACGAAAGAGGGAGAGTACTAACTTTACTACGCCGGCCCAGATCTATAGTGGATCCAGTTGCCTCTCCGTTATCATTGTCAACAAAAAGGTCCTGATGAAGTCCAAACCATAGTCAGATCAACGCTTGAACACAAAGTACCAAAAAAACACATTTGAAGAAAGCATACGCTCCCAACTCACAAATCACAATAACAATACCTTAGCTGAAACGCGAGATGCAGCAAGGAAAACGAAGAGGCAGAGGAGGAACAGAGCGAAAGATGTACGCCTATTCATGATTTTCCCGATACGACGATCGGACTGGCGAAGATGTATGAAGTATCAGAGATTGTGTAAAGAAAGCAGCAGGGGAGGGGAGAGAGATAATCGTTGTTGTTCTTCGATTGCTGCCGCATGTCTAGCAATTTTCTTCACGGGATCATAGATAGTATCATCGTTTCCATGGAAAAGAGAAAAAATGTGTGCGCGCGCGTGGGCCGCCGAGAAGTTCAATTGCGAGACACCGAGGAGATGGAAGCTTTCGTCACTTGTTTTGACAGCTTTAAAAGATATATCATAAATTGTCCCTCAACTATTAATCGTCTTTCATATTGGTCCTTACTCCAAAATACTTAACATTTTTGGGTGGGATTAAAGTGACTATCCCTCAACTAATTAATTATCCCTCAACTGATTAATTATCATCTTGCATATTACTCAAACCGACAAGATCATTAATGTCATCTGTCATTTTATTTTTATCTATACTAATAAAATAAAACCTATTTTCTGCCATATGTCATGTCCTCATTAATTTGAACACATGGCATTTTAATAGATTTTTAGAATTTATTTATTTCCACATGAAATTTTCTTATTTGTTCACATATCATAACTCATTTCGGTTAAAATTGAAAAAAAATAAATGTTTGCTTGAAAAAGAAATGATATATTTATAATGTAATAAATGACATAATTAATGAGAGCTCTAAAATTGATATTAATATTAAATTTAATGTTTAAATATTGATATTAAATTTTTATTTTTAATAAACCCCTGTAGTACACGGGTCTTACATCTAGTTTATGAAATGTAATCCAATTCTAAACTACTCCAAATTTCATCTTATAATTAATTATCCCTCAACTAATGACAACACTTGATATCATTGATTTAAAAGCTCTTTGGTATCATCTACGAGATACAGATTCGAATGTTTGTAGAATATGAATATCATAAAACCACCATCAAGGTGGCCTAGTTGTGATTATGAAACATTCCAAAATAGAGTTTGTATGGATTTGATTCTTACAAGCATCAATCTTGGATTAGCACGTTGTAAAAAAAGGATGGAAGTAAGTCACTAACGAAAATTAGAATATTGTGGTGCACATGGGAGAGGACAATGGTAAATATATCAGGTACTTAAAGAGGCTGCTATGGGGGAACTAAGTGGTTAATAAAGAAACATCAATAATGAGAAAAATCACATTTAAGAGAAAACTTTTGTATATATCAAACCTTCCAAGTGAGAACTCTATTTTATTCCATAGTGAAAATGATGTAAGATCCATTATAGTTTGTCTTGTTTTTTTATTTCACCACTACTTTGATCCATTATAGTTTGTCTTGTTTTTTTATTTCACCACTACTTTTATCTTTTAGGCGGATGTCATTTATTCTATTTTTTTTATTGAGTAAATTACACGAATGGTCCCTATGGTTGGGGTAATTTGCATGTTTGATCCCTAACTTATTTTTTTAACTCGGAAGGTCCTTATTGTTTGTTTTTGTTACACGCTTGGTCCCTACTGTTTGTTTTTGTTACACGTTTGGTCCCTATTTTGGCTAAAAAGGCTATTATTTACATAGAGAAAAATGGCGGGGTAGGTAAGGTAAGGTGAGGAGGGTGGAGTTGGGAGGTGTGTTTATTTGAATAGATTAAAAAATCAAGGGCATAATAGTCTTTTTAGGTAAGACAGGGACCAAACGCGTAACAAAAACAAAAGTAGGGATCTTCCGAGTTAAAAAACTAAGTTAGGGACCAAACATACAAATTACCCTAAACCATAAGGACCATTCATGTAATTTACTCTTTTTTATTTAATGTCCCTTTAAGTAACTAGTAACGGATGAGTTAGCATTGTTTAATAACATGGTGCTTAGGTGGAAAGAGAAATTATGTTGATTGGTTGACTCGTTACTAGCTCAAGGGGATAATATGTTAGTCGTCGTTATAAAAGTGGAAAATAGTGAGGGTTTAGTACCAGAATAATATGGTGAGTCAACAATAAACTAGCATTTGAAGTACTCTTATGAATAACTTATTGGTTTCCATTGCTAAATTTGTAAAAATCTTCTCATTATTGTTCCATAACTAATTTGTGGTTGGTTATATTATTAAAAACAAATCAGTCAAGTCGTTAAACCCTTCGTTAATATATATTTCCTAATTAGGTGTGAGACCCATATATTATATGAGTAAATTTAAAAAACTTAAATATTAAAATCCAAATATTTAAGAGCTTTGGATTTATAAGAAAATAAGAAAAATAATGAATTATTAAAATTGAAATATTTTTTTATTTTTTAAATTAAAACAAATAATTTAAATAAATAAACAAAAGAAACTAATGAACTTAAATTTGAGAAATTTGAAATTAAAAAGTAAGTCCATTAATGAAATTGATATTCATTTATTATTATACTTATTGTAATTATTACATTAAAATATTATGTGAATTTAATAAAATAGGAAAACTTATAAAATGATATGGAAAAAAATTCAAAATAACTACTAACTGACATTTGGCAAATTCAATAAAAATATAAGATGTGACAAAAAAATCTTCATTTATTTCAGTAGATATTTAACATTTATGAGAGAAATAGGTGCTCTTGACCACAAATTGGTTTCAATCCGTTCCGATTCATGTATGTTTTTTTGATTAAAAAGTCCATCCTTATTTAACAAGACTAGCCAGAAGCTAAAGCTTTTATTTGTATGGAAGTGTTTGAAAAAATATTTTTATGTTTTTGATAGGTGTAAAATAATACAAAATATTTTTAAGTTTTTAAGCTAAAAAGGAAGTGTTCAAAAAAGTACTTTTAAGTTATTGATAGATGTAAAATAATACCAAATATAAAAGCTACAAGTTCTTAAAACTACTTGAAATACGATAAATATCAAGTGCTTAGCATTATGATTGAAGCATGGAACGAATAGCTAGTTTAAGATATTCTTAGAAGATCATGTATTTTATAGTGATGCATCTTAACTTTTGTTTTGATATTAAGACTGCAGGGTGTGGCCACGATTTGACCATAGGGAACATCCACGCCCCCCCCCCCCCTTTTCACTATGCGGTTTCAGGCGCGGTTTAACCGCAGTGGTAGAATCTTGTTGCACCTTATCTCTTTTCTTTTACCCCTCTTTCTCTTCTCCTAATGTTTGAACGATCAAAATTTGAAGAAAAAAAAACATTTTTTCTTTTTTACCTATAAATAAAACGTCATAAGCCTTATTTTACCAAACTTAAATCCAATTCTTATATCTTTCTATATCTATTTATCTCAAAATCACTAGAAAATGTCGCCACCTTCATCTTCGGAAGAATTTCAATGTAACACTCATTTCCCATAATGGATCGGCGGATGATATAAAGGAGTCGAAGGCATGGTTTTTGAGGAAAACCATGTGCAATGACGTGATGCAAGATGAAGGACGCGTGTTTTTGGGTAAGCGTCACGACGTGGTTAGAGAATGGTCACGACGTGGCGAGCACTGCAACTTAAACCCATACATTTTTAAGGTTTCTCCCATATTTAAGCACCTTAACTCCCACATTAGGGGATCTTCTTCAACCTTCATCCTCCCAAAATGAAACCCTAGCCATCTTCCTTAGTTATGAGCTTAGTGGATTGATTTTAAAGTAGTTCCTCTTGTCTTAGTAAAGTTTGTGAAAAAAAAAGGAACTCCTTCTTAGTGCAAGGAAGCATAAATCAATATTAGATCCATCATCTTCTTCAAGTTTTTAGACCTTTGGAGGTAAAAAGCTTGCACCTTGACCTTGTTCTTTCAAGATTTATGTTTAAGGTTTTTAATGAGTGGTTTTGGTTCCTTCTTGGAAACTCTTGGAGTTTGGGGAAACTCCAAAGCTTATTTGGGACTCTTGTGGTCATCTATTAGTTGAGAAAAATGGATCTTAGCTTGATAGTTATTAGTCCCATGTTCAAGTTTAGGTCCCATTGAGCTCAATGGACTTAGGGTTTAAGATCTTTCCTTGAAGTAGTGTCCTAATGGATAAAGTTGGAAACTTTATCCATTAAGTCAATGAGAAAAAGTATATCTAGAAATATGAGCATTGATCTGTAAGGATTGAGCTTTTAATGAGAGAAATGACATACTACTAGTGGCCACGACATAGTGAAGGTTAGAAATATGAATGTTTTGTCTTGGCATTGCCACAACGTGGCATAGAATTTGACTTAGTTGGTCGTTGACTTTTGTTGACAGTTGATTGTTGACTTTTGACCAATTTGACTTAGGGTCAAACTTGGTGGATTTGGTTGTTGATTGAGGATTTATCTCTTTTAGTGATCAGTCAGTTCGCGAGATTGAGTAGTGTAAGGTGTGAGAGTGTTGTTGTGTTTCTCCGGTTCTTTAGTTCAGGTGAGTTTCTCACTATGTCATGTATCCCATTGTATGGCCTTGCATGATAGGATAACAGTGTTGTTAGAGTACAATTATGTTACTGGCTAAGATAACTCCTTGGTATATAAGTGCAGTTTATGACATTCGATGTCTTGGTATACTATACGGGTAGGGTCTTGCATGTTGATCGTATGGTATTGTTAGGAAATATGTTTGGTTAGGGTAACCGGGGTAAATCAGTTATCAAGGTTATCTATGACTAACCAACGAAGGACTTAACTAATAAGTGGTCAATGGTAAGGGTAACTGGGGAAGGCTAGTTTGCTAAGGGTATGGACATACTAGTATTTGTTATGTGTTTATGTTACATGATTATATGATAAAGATAGCTTGGGTTCTATGTATTTTAAGTTGTATATCCTGAGAACTCTTGGTTTAATACTTGTTGTGATGTTTTTGTCTGATTATTCTCTCTCGGGTGGATCACCTGGTCGACTGTCTATCCGATCCCTGACTACATATGACTTTATGAATCATAAGGAAGATAAGGATTTGGCTCCTAACAACTTATATGAAAGACTATGGTTGGATCACAACACTAATTTGAAAGATTATGGTTGGATCACAACACTTTTATGTACGTATAGGGTTCAGCCTTAGCAATGGAGTTAGGGTTGGGCTTGTATACTCCCTAGGGATGGGCCCATTACGCATGATATATGTATGTGCATATGATATTTGATTGCTCGGCTCTAGAGCCAAGATCTTGTGTGGATGCATTGTATGTATTATGGAATATATGATATATTGGGAAACTCACTAAGATTTATGCTTACAGATGTGGATTAAAGATTTTGCAGGTTGTTCGTGAGAATAGCTCAACGAGTCAGTACACATGCATCGAAGATGTTCATTTTCGTAGTTTTATGAACTTAACTA